TTCCCTCACTGAGTCCTTGAAGGGGCAGGTATGAGAGGACAGAACTCGCCCTCCCCAGAAGTGACGTGAGAAATCTCATGCAATCTGGCCTCTTGCCCCTCTGTTGGAAGGTGCAGCTCAGACATAGCAGTGTCTCCAAGTCCTCCAGGCGAACCCTCTGGGGAGAACTAGATGATGTCTTGCAGAAGTGAGAAGGCAGGGAATGCAGCTTGTGGGAGGCTGAGGAGTTTGGAGTTTCTCTTCAAAGGAGGTGGGAGCCATGGGAGGCTCAAGACAGCTATCTGACTTTGGGCAAACAAATTGCAGAAACTCAGTTGCTTTGCAAGTCAGAGAAATCAGGTACGGGAATCATAAGGAGGCATATGTCAGCTGCGTGGGAGAAAGAGTCAGAGCTTGGAAATTCGGGTCCCTATCCCTAAGGTGTGTCAGCAGGGTTGGCAAGAAAGCTGCTGACAGGGACTCTGCACATAGCAGGACCCTGAGTTGGGTCCTGAAGAGACCGTAGGAGCACCTTAGTTTATTCAACTCACTTTATTTGCCAGGGGATGAAATGGGAGGTCCAGAGTGGGGGTTAGTTTGCCCAGGGCCAAACAGCACACTGGCAGGACTCAGAGGGGTAGGAGCCTTTGGCAAAAAGGGAACCAGGCTGCCTGACTTTTTGCCCACTCCTGTCCCCTTCCTCCTCTAGAGACTCAAGTACCTGCTGACTCCGAGGGAACCCAACCGCTGGGCTGTGGAGCGAGAGGGGGCCACACCCTACGCCGCCCACCTGGCCATGAATGGCACTCTCACGAAACCGACCCACATCATCGTGGAGACCATGATGTGAGCTCTCTCGGGTCGACGGGGCTGCTTTCCTGCTGTTTACTAACGTTAGATTCTCATAGGACCAGGTTTACAGAGCTTTATATTTGCACTAGGATTTTTTTTTTTTTTTAATTGTCACAGAAAATATTACTGTGTGTGCGTGTGTGTGTGGGTGTGCATGTGTGTGTGGTGTTGTGCGTATGTGTATTTTGTTTTGATTCGGGGATATTTTATACAAAAAGAAAACCCATGGGCAGAAGTCCGGGTTGAGGCAGAGCTTTCATACTGAATTAGATGTATTTTATGGGAACTTGGTAAATTTTTCTTTGTATTTTTTTTTACATATAACTATATTTACATTTAGAGATTGTCATACACTTTTACCACTTGAATCGATCTTCTTGCCAGCAATAGATCTCATTTTCAAAAGCAATTCTTCGGTGCTTGTGTAGCTGGCAGAAAGTTCTGCCCCAAAAAACACAGGGTGGAATTTTCCTGGGACAGCAGACCCATTTTACAGGTGTAGTACTTCCCACCTGGTTCAAGTAGAAGCAAACTGCAGGGAGAGGGCCCTACCCGCTGACCAGACTCAAGGGGGCTGGAGAAAGGAGGGCTGTGAGGAGATGCCTCATTATACTTGTAGCCAAGAAGAGAGATGCCAAAATAATGAACCAACCCTTCAAATAAAGGCACTGACTAGAAGCTGACAGGTGAGATCCCTCCAGCAAAAGTCTGATTTCTAAGAGCAATAGAAACCATTACACCAGGAACAAAATCCCACTTTTTATTTTGAGATCGAGGGCAGATAGTCAGATGGACTGTCAGAACCATTTATCCAAGAGGGCTGATGAGGATGGAGCTTGGATGTTCAGGAGCCCTCATGAGACTGACTGGGATGTCCCAGGTAGAGACCTGAGGCTGGCCCAGCAGGAGCTGGTGGTCTCAGGGGCTCTGAACCTCACCCAGATGGGTTTGTTGCATTTCTGTGGGGTCCTATAAGGTTTTGGTCATTCTCCAGCTGACACGTCTTGAAGCTGCCTATAGGAGGGAAGTGTCATGTATTTGGTGAGGGACGAGGGGTGAGCGAGTGGACAAAAGGATGTGGGCCCCAAGGTTCAAGGGGCCCGGTGTCAGGGAGGGGTGCTTTTTTTTTTTTTTTCTTTTTACTCATCTCTCCACCCTCATCTCCCAGAGGCTGGGAAACTCCTGACAAGCTCTTATTGAAGATCCCAGCCCAGGGCCGCCCCGGCTTCTCGCAGGGAGTGCCAAGAGCATCTTCGAATCGGGCGAAGTGCTCCCCAAACTCTCCTCCCAGTTCGGTCACAAGGTGCAACCCTTGGTAGTCCCTGGGAGATAATAAAACTCTTCATTTCAATAGCTGGTGCCAGATAGATATGCACTGTGTGGGGACTGAGGAGAGGCAGTGAAGGGATGTTTTCTAGAAAGTTGGGGTTGTTCAGGGGGCTGGAACCCCAGAACTGGCTCAATCAAGAGCCTTCTGTAGAGCAGCTGCATTCTCTCTGAACCAGGAGAGAAGGTACTCCACCTTTAAAATCCCAAGTATGGACACACCTCCACCCCAGCCGCCATTTGGACCTAAACTGTGCCATTGAAACAGTCACTTCCAAGTAAAGAGTCTAAACTAAACTTAAACATTTTGTCACAAACAGCAGTGACTTCCTCGGGTGATGTGGAGAGTGAAGTCCAGCTCCGGTTTTCAGAGCAGGAGCTCTCTGAATCCTGGAAACCGCCCCCTCCCCAAATTTGGGAGGGGGAGAAGCCTTTGGTGTCCCCCTCCCAAGGGGCAGAGGCAGTTCCGAACCCTTTGTCTTTGGCAAGCAGTCACATTTCACTGTTTCCAAAGCATATACTCTGCCAAACAATACCTATTCCAAACTGTTCACAGTTCTAATGTGTTCCTGTTTTTCTATGTATTTATGGTTGCCGCTGTGTCTGAATTGATTTTATTATGTTTTTTTCCCTGTAATTTTACTAAGTAGCAATGTGACCTGTTTTCCTCTGTCTTATGGAACTTTAGTAAACTAACCACTGTCAGTGACTGCGGACAGGTGACGTGTGGGAGTGAGGGTGGCTTGGTAAGCTGTGGCTATCTGGGCATCTGTGGCCATTTCAGGCTGCATCTTCCCTCCGGGGCTTGGACCCCAAGCGAAAGGCCACAGGGTGGCAAAGAAATGGCAATATTCTGGAAGTGGCCCGAGGAAGGCCTGCTATAAGATTCCCAGACCAAATTCTAGACCAAAGACACATGCAGACCAAGTCCCCAGGTCCTGCCTGGAAGGTCAGCCACTTTCCCCAAGCCCATTCCTCAACAGTCTCCCCAGCCACCTGTCTCCAGTTTTGGCCCTAGCTCTCGTGTATCCGCAGAACTTGGCTCTATGAGTACAATGTGTATGGTGTGTGACTTTTATATGTCTTCACATAAAGGAAACTTGTCATTGGAGCTCATGACTCTGGTCCACCTGTCTCTCTGCCTGGGATAGGTCAGAAATTCTGATGCCCTCACATCGTTCAGTCAGCCAGACCTAGAAGGGATGCAACGGAGCTGTTCAAAGAACTTTTTTAGGACGTAGAAATGGGCGAAGGCCCCAGGATATATACACCCAGGGAAACACTGCACTGAGCTGGGCTGGGCCACGTTCGTCCCTGCAGTAGACCTGCACTGTCGGTGGCCCTCGTAAAATGGGGAAACAGCCCTGAAGCAGGGGAGGGACTTAGGCACAGAGACCTGGGAATGGAACCAGACTGTGTGCAGTCCGTTCCTGCTGCAGGTCTTCCAAGGTATGTGCAGTGAGTGGCAAGTGCAACTCCCCAGTGTTCTCCCTGAAGACCAAAGACGAGCCTTTAGGAAAAAGAAAATGCTCCGTCCCAGCATTCATGGATGAGGTGCACAGCACCTGCCACCCCCTGGCCATCCTCAGGGGCCAACTGGATCCCAAGCTGTAGCTCAGGCCTCTGGTAGGAGAGGCAGCACCTGTTTATTCTGTTCGGCTCTGCACCTGGCAGCCCTCCATGAGCTAGGCATTGAGATCCCTGTGACACAGGAGGAAACTGAGGCCCAAAGAAACGTGTTGGTGTACAAGAATCTTCAGAACCCCTTAGGGCAGGATTCAGCCTGAGGCCACGTGGGACATTCCCAGGCAACAGGAAGTGGCTTTGCATTCTGATTTCCAGGCAGTAGCAGCTCCCTCTCTGAACCTCTGGTCCTTCTGGTCCCTTGTTCTCACCCCAGATCCCCAGCACATCCCCAGAGAAAGTGGTGAAGCACAAAGGGAGAGCTAGCCCTCCTCACCCTAGCACAGGCGGCTAGTGGCCCAGCCAGTGCTTAAGGCAAAGCACCTCCCTTCCCTCCAAACCTCAGACACAGGCCAGGAAAGGACCCAAGAGAAGTCCCTCAAGATGGCTTAGCAGGCCCATGTAGCCCTCAGACCCAAGGTCAGGCGACTCTAGGCCCGGCTCTCTATGAGATGCTGTAAATACCACTGCAAAAATGCAACAAGCACAAAGCCACAAAGCAAACAAAAACCCAGATATCAAAATTGGAGAGGAATACGAGTCCCTCCCTCTCTCAATGCCCGGCCCTCAGAATACATCTGGTTTTAATAGGAAGCTGTTTCATTGTTCTTTTGTGGGTGTCACTACAGACATGTTCTGATAAGTCAGGTCCCTGAGGAATGGGGCATCTTGTGATATATTTGGCTTCAAACTGAGATATTGGCTCCGTTTCTTTTCCCAATTAATTTTTAAATCTCTAGCAACTGTGACTCTGTATTTAGCACAAGAGAAAGCTGAGAACGTGGGTCTCGCCTCCTTTCAGAAATACGTCTGGCTCATCAGGACTTTTTTTTTAAACTTCAAAATATTTTTAAGATATTTTAAACTTTTGTAAAAAAAAAAAAATCAACCAACAAGAGATTCTTCTGAGGAGGAACATTTGTATTTGAATAAGATCCTTGGTGTGTAATTCATTCTTGCAATATACAAGCTTTTGTGTATAAATGTTTTATGATATGAATCCCTGTATTTTGCAGGGATTTGACTATCCTCTTTTGCTTTTTAGATAAATATGTATATCAATATTTTAAATTCATCTTTGCTTTTTTTTAGAGGAGTTTGTAATCACCTTATAACATGAAAATAAACATTTCCTTTTTAAATCCAACACGTGTGAGTTCGGTTTTGATGAGGCCGTTTTTCCTTATATTTGTCGAATGCTTTATAGTTTATAAAGGGCTTTCAGACCCGCCCCAGGATGCTCCTCCAAGGTGGGTATTATTATCCAAGGCTGGAGATGCTGAGGCAGAGGTTTCCACTTGGGATGTGGTTTGCTCAAGGGCACACAGCAAGTCCGTGAAAGAGTTGATTCGCACCCAGGTCCACAGACTCCTGGGTCTCTCTGGCTGATTCTACCTGTTCTACTGAGTGAAGCCCACCTATTGCACAACCAACCCCATGCAGCTGTGCGATCTCACACAGTCACCCAAGCCTCAGTTTCCCCACCTGGAATAAACCACCGCCCCCTTCAAAGGCACAGGGATGATGTGAGGTGATGCATATAATGCATCAGGTCCTCATCTGCTCTGGCTTCCTTTCCTTCCTTCCCAGTCCGAGGTTATCCTGCTGTAAGCCCAGGATGGGGGGTGTGAAGAGAGGGGCATTAACCTGAGGTTGGTGCTTCCTCGCCCCCTCAGCGCCCCTACCAAGGGCAGTCACTAATGCCTGATCCCATCCTTTGGGATCTCTCACTGCAAAGCCCAAGAGAGGGGCTGGGAGGCCGCCGGGAGAGGAGTAAGTGGCGAGTCCTGGAGGGTTACAAATAGGGACCTCACCCTGGAAGCTCAGAGGGGAGGACATCCAACCCCAAAAGGTCAGTGGTTGGCACAAATATCCTCAGCCCCTTTGGGGATCATGAGCCCAATCCACTGTTAGATGAGGAAACTGAGGCCAGAAGAGGGTCGATATTTGGGGAAACCTTCCAGCCCATTGGCCCAATCACCTTTGTGAGTGGACAAGGTCAGGGGAACTTACTGGGTCCCAACTTCTCAGACCAAAGGATTTTTTCTCCGTAATTCATTATGTATAGACAAGGTTAGAATAAAATCGCCCTCCCTTGCTTCTTCTGGTTGCCTGCCTTTCCGATGGCCCTGTCCACCTTCCTTCTGTCTCTCAGTGTTTTGGCCATGTGGCTTATGTTCAAATCCTGGTTCCATCCCTTATTACCCGTGGGACCTTGGGCAAGTTACTTAACCTCTCTGTGCCTCGTTTCTTCATTTGTAATGTTGGAATGGTAACAGAGCCACCTCTGAAGGCTGTTGGGAAGATCCACAAAATTCTTGCAAAGCTCTCAGAACAGTGCTTGGTGCCCAGCCAGGCTGAAGGACTGTTGCCTCTATGGGAAGACTAACAGTGCCTTGTGCAACACTACAGCCCCCAACTTTCCTAGTCCAGCCACATAAATTCACCTGATGTGGTCCAGCCCCTACTTACATCCCTCCTGAGATGGGGAGCTCACTCCATCTGGCATTGCTGATGGGAAGCTCTTCCTCTGTCCACACAGAGCTGTGGCTCTCTGAGTTGGACACGGCCCTGCCCTCAGGACTCATACCTGGGACACCCTGTAGAGACTCAGGGTACTGCCCAGGCTGCCTGCCTTCCCCACCCAAGCAGCAGGTCTGCCACTCACCTGCCTCAGTGGCTTCCCCCTGCACATATAATAAAAGCCACAGTCCCTACCCAAGCTTTCACAATTGGGCTCTGCAACCTTGAATCTGGTCTTTAACCCCAATCCTTTCCATGCCTTTCTCTTCCTTAATTGAACCAAACTCATTCCCACCTCAGGGCCTTTGCACTTGCTGTGCCCTCTGCCTGGGACATTCTTCTCCATGTCTCCCCAGGCTGGCTCATGTCCTTCAAGTCTTGGCACAAAAGTCACCTCTTCACCGAAGGGTCACACATCAACTGACTCTCTGAGCTAAAGATCCCCGTGCCCTTGTCACTCTCTATCCGCATTTGTTTCATTTTCTTCAATGCCCTTTATCCCTCCTGGAAGAATTCTTCGATGCGCTTACTTGTTAACTGTCTTTCACTAGAATACAAGCTCTATGCAGACAAGACTCCAACTGTTTTGTTCCCGTTGTTTTCCCAGGGGCCAGAATGATGCATAGAACACAGCAGACTTTTTGAATGGATGAATTAATGAATTATTCGTAAGTAGGGAAGATGTCACCAGAATCAAACAAGCTGACTCTCGACAGCCTATGATTAAAAAAAAAAAAGTAGAAACCCTACTCCAGGTGCATTTAAATAATTTTATTAAAAAAAAAAACCCAAATCATCCCAACAGCACCCCACCCCCAACTCCCAAGTCATTGCAGCCCCTTGTGGGACAGACATATTTACACAGGGCCCAAACAGACCCCAAATGGCCTTTGTAGTGCAGCCCCTTGGCATGTAGTGCTTCCTGAGAGCCCTAAGAAACCCCATGTAGAAAAATACTTTACAAGGAATATGCTCTCATCTCAGCCAGAGAAAAATACAGCTTTTAGGGGGTGGAAGGGCCATGTCACAGGGGCTGTACCCAAAATGCATAGGCAGGCAGGACGCTCACTGAGGACGGGTGTCAGGAAACATCAATTCTGGGAAGAAAAATCCCCATGAGAAGCCAGAAGAAATATTGCATATGAGAAGGCCAGCCACAGCGAGGAGGTCCACCTGCCGGGCCTGGTTGCATACGTTGGGGGGAACGGCAGAGGCCTCAGCCCGAGGAGGGAAGGGAGCATTGGTCAGGGTGAGGATGCATCTTCCCTCTCCTGTAGTCCAACACAGTTTTCCCAAGCCAAGAAGCCCTGGGAGTATGTTCTGTCTAGCTCTGTTAAGTGACAGAGGCCGGAGAAGCTGAGCCACTTTCCTAAGGTCACAGAGTTGAGGCTGTGTCTCTTCCGTGGCCCCACCACCACCAAGTTGAGAGTTCTTGGCTTTTGTTTGGTGCCCCTGTGATGGGTGGGCAGTACCCTTTCACTTGGGGTCAGAGGTTTAAACAGGAATCCAAGATAGCAGAGGCACTGGGCAGTCCAGCCAGGGCATGACGGGCTCTCCAAGGAGGGTGCGGAAGAGCAAGGTGCAGGGAAGTGGGGCGGGGAGGAGAGGCAGACCCTCAGGGAGAGTGTGGGTTGGGTGCCCAGGGAGCCTCAATGGACAAGGAGGCTCATACCTACTCAGAGAGTATCCGCCCTTGATTGTTCAGAGGGAGTGTTGGACTCGGGGGTCACACATCAACTGAGCAGTGACCCAGTGGGGAAAGAACAGGTCTCTTGACTCCGCATCTTGTCCCTTGAGTGGAAAAGCGGTGTTTTGGGGGCCTCCAGGGAATGCAGTGATTGAAGAGAATGCAGGTAGGAGTGGGTGTCCTGTTTTTCTGAAACCCTCTTAAGAGCTGAGCAGGGTCAAAGCAAAGCCCCCAGGCCTGGCTGCATCCTGCTTGCCCATCTCTATCCCAGGGTCCACACCCCAGACCACCAGGTGGAGACTCTGTGCCCGTCTCAAAATCAAAAGGGTCTCTGGTACATGGAAAATGGAGAGAAAGATTTTAAGAGATGCTAGTGCTTCTAGATGTCAAGTGGGAAGAAACTTCGTAGAATGACCACTCTGGATACTGTCACCATTGGGTATGAGAGAGAATGACCCCTCTCTTCAGCTGATCTCTCTCTTGTTTGCTTCTCTCTCCGTCTGGGCTGCTTCTTTCTCCTCCACTGAGTTAGCCACTGGGGAGGAGCTGCATCATTTTAAATATCATATTTCCATGGCTTCCCTTCTTCATTGAATGGCAGGTGAATGGAGCCCCCTGGGTCTTTTGTCCCAAAATGACTCCCTCCTTATGGAGGGGCCTGTGCTGAGAGGGGTGTATTGCAGATGGTGAGTGGCCACACATTCTACAAAAGGAGCAGGAGGGGCTGACAGCCAAAAGCCTGACACTGAGCTGCCCATTGGTTCCAGAAACATAGTTTTGAATCATAGTTGCTATGGACCAGAGACACCACAATGAAGCAATCACTGACTTTCATATCAAAGGGCTGGTGCTTCCTGGATTCCAGATGCCCCAGGTCAAAATATCCTAAATGGGGATGCTGGAAATCAGAGACTCTCAAAACCAACAAGCCCCAAATACCAGAATTCTGGAGAAGGGAAGGAGGTAGGCTCTGACCTCAGGCAAAATCCTTCTTGGTAGTTGGCTCTCTAGCTGAAGCGGCCCCCCAGCCTCACTCTAAATGCTCCCCATCAGGAAATGAACCCTCTGAGTCCATGTGGATGCATCAGTCAGATGCCTCACACCTCAGTCAACAACTACACTGGGGTAACCAGCTCCCGCTTGCTCACCTCTTGTGACAGGGAGCTCACTCCTCCCTGGCAGCTTATTCTAGCTCCCTAGCTCTG